CCACCCCATCAATGTAACCGACCACGGCCGACGATCCCGACGCCGCGGCCACCACGCGATGGGCCAACACGGACCACCGCTCGGGCTCGATTTGAGCCCCCGCAGTGATCCGCGCCGGTCCATCGCAGCGCCCCACCGGCCCCCCGTTCGTTACGGTGCGAGAGTGTGCGACAGGTGGGTGCGTTGGCCAAACATGTGAGGTGCCGCGACTCGCCGGATCATGGTGCTGGAGCTTGGGAGGAGGAAGAGGAGGGCCGGCGTCCTGTCGAGGCGTCGTCCCCCGCTGTCGAGGAGAACGGCACCCCGAGGCGACATGGCCCCGGATGCCGCAGTTGAAGCACCGCGGGAGCGCCGATGGAGACGATGGACGGTCGAAACGCCTCGGCCCGTCCCGACCCGGCCGCGCCCCCGTCGTCTGTTGCCGTCGATGGTCGACGGCATAAAGTTCTTCTGACGGAAGGGTGGCTGCAGCCACCGCACGCCCAGCCGATGCCCTGTTTGCCTTTCGCCGCTGCTGCAGAAGGTTGGCGTGGAGGAGTCGCGCAGCCTGGAGGGAGGTCATTTCTGCATCCCCTTGTGCGATGACGACGATGTCGAGGTCGTCCGCCAAGAGGAGGATCTTCTCCGCGACCATTGCGTCCACGCCGTCGTCGTCCATGCGGGGAAAGGCTGTTTTTGCCAGCGCCAGAAGACTTGTCCGGAAAGCCAGAGGCGACTCTTTTTCACCCCGCCTGCGATCGTAGAACTGCTGACGGCATTCGGCTGAAGGTCCATAGACCCCGGCCAGCAGCTGTAGCGCCATTGGTAGTGTAGCCCGCTTCTCTTTTGGCGCCGACGTGAGTGCGGCGAGCGCGTCCCCATCGAGGAGCGCCGGCAGCGCGCAAAGGGCCTCCTCGTCGGACCACCGCGCCATCTCCTGATGGGCGAGGAAGCGTCGCCGGAAGCCGCCCCAGTCACCCTCCGCACCGATGAATTCCTTCAGCGGGGGCAGCCTTTGGTGAAGCGCAGCGGTCGATGTGGACTCCCGCAGGTTGCTTTCACCTCCCTTTGGCGGTGCCTCGGCGCGACTGGCCGATGGCATCGCCTGTCGCGGCAGCGATGACGCATCCTTCGGCTGCGATGACGCTGCAGCCCCGGCGACGGCGATGTCGGAGCCGATGTCTAAGCTGGCCACGCCCCGAACAGCCGCGGCGTCCATGGCGGGAAATTCAAATTGTGAAGTCGCTGAAATGGCGGGAAAGTGCTCCGGCCGCCGGTTCTCCTCGCCCTGCGGTGGACCACCAGCCCCCAACCGCGTAATGCCTTCCAGTGTGGCGGCAGCGGCATAAAGTAGCTCCGCCAGCCGTTCGTGAGCCAGTCGTAGTGCATCTGGCTGCGGCCCCTCTCCATGCTGACGTCCCGGTGAGAAGGCGCCAGGCTCCGGCTGCACCCCATCTTGTTGCTCTGTCTCGGGCTCGGCGATCTCCGCGGCGTCCTCCTCTTGTGGTACCCTGGTCCGAGCTGTATGGCGCGTTTCCATTTTTACCACTTCTGACGCCAGATGAAGTACCCGTCGAGGACGCTTGACAACGGAGTTGAGGCACACGTATATTTATTTAACAAGTTGCCAGTACAGGACAGCCCTAGAGGGGGTAGCGGCCCCCTCACCCGTATAACTCAGGGAATACCCCTAGCTATCCATAGCCTATCCCCTGAGTCCTCCACTAAGAGCTAGGGGAGGCTGTCTGGCCCGACACTGGTAATCGGGCTCGGTACCCGGAGTCCCAGAGCACTGGCTCTGGTTCACGGGACCACGCCACTGGCTCGAGCCTGATCCCGTGGGGCCCTGATAAGGGCGGCGATCAGGGGGAGTCCAGGGCTCTAGCTACGACGTCTTCCGACTTCTTAGCTTAACTATAACATAACTCCCTAAGCCCATATAACGACCCCTTTTTATACCCAACCCTCCTTGAGGGGTGGGGCCCCGGGGGATCGTAACGCCGAACCAGCCCCCCCCCCAGGGTGTCTGGCTCGGACGTCGCAGAGGGCATCTCCCTGTGCACACACGTAGCCCCGCCCACTGTGTTTCTTTCCCATAGGCTGCCATGCATAACGGCCCTCTCTCCAACGTCCCTACACAAGGAAAGAGCTGTGTGTCTGATATGCCAGAATATAGTTTCTGTGTTCAAATAATACAATTTACATCGACACTATGAAACTCAACATAAAGATAAATATGATTGTTTGGTCGGAGAAGTGAGAAAAGATAAAATATTAAAACTGAAAAATATATTAACAACTCGGCAAAATACTTTTGTGAAGCAGAAGCAGCTAAATATTTCATCACTGCGAGCAAGTTTTCAAGTTGCCAAGCTAATAGCGTGCACTGGCAGACCATTTGTGGAGGGAGAATTTGTTAAAGAATGCCTTCTTTCTGTTGCCAAAGAGATGTGTCCAGAGAAGGCCGATTTATTTAGTACAGCGAGTCTTTCAGGACCTACAATTACACGGAGGATTGAAGAAATGGGAGACAACTTGCATCAGCATTTGCAAAACTCCACAAAAAAAACTTTCCTATTTTTCCTTGGCACTCGACAAAAGCAGTGATGTTCGTGATTCTGCAAAACTTCTAATTTTTATTCGTGGGATGAATGACTATTTCGAAGTCACAGAAGAGCTTGCTGCACTGCAAAGCATCAAAGGAACAACTACAGGAGAGGATATCTATGAAAAAGTTTGCCAAACTGTGAATGGTTTGGAGCTGAATTGGGCTAAACTAGCCAGTGTGACAACTGATGGTGCTCCTAGCATGGTGGGGTCTAAGAAAGGAGTAATTGCTCGCATTAACCAAGAGATGGACAAACATAACCATTCTCATCCAATAGCCATACACTGCCTCATCCACCAACAAGCGCTGTGTAGTAAATCACTGAAGTGGAACTCTGTTATGAAAATTGTGGTATCTTGTGTTAACTTCATTAGAGCTCATGCACTAAACCACAGACAATTTCAGGAATTTCTGTCTGAACTAAATGTTGACTATGAAGATGTTCTGTACCACACAGAAGTCCGTTGGCTGAGTCGAGGGAGAGTTTTGAAACGTTTCTATGACTTCCACAGATTACAGCTTTTCTGCTTTCAAAAAACAAAGAAGTACCAGAGCTCAATGATGCAGAATGGAAATGGCACCTTGCCTTTCTGACAGATGTAACAGAGCTACTCAACAGTTCCAATGTGCAACTTCAAGGAAAGGGGAAGCTCCTCTGTGATATGCAATCACATGTCAAAGCATTTGAAGTAAAATTAGGCCTCCTCATCAAACAAGTTAAGGAGGAAAACTTAAGCCATCTCCCCACAACTCAAAATCTGTTAGCGGAAAAACCATTGGTTGCAATTCCCAAACAAAACATGTGTGGATTCACTGGAAAAATTGCAAAAGGAGTTCCAATTTAGATTTAAAGAGCTTCATCTCCATGAACAGGACATACAGCTTTTCCGTAACTCATTTTCTATTGACATTGAAAATGTGGATACAATTTACCAAATGGAACTGGCTGAACTGCAGAATTGTGACTCTCTGAAAGACGCATTCAAGTCAAGCAGCCTTCATAATTTCTATGCATTTCTCCCCTCTGAGATATATCCTCATCTCAGGAACCATGCACTCAAACTGGCAACCATCTTTGGCAGCACTTATGTCTGTGAACAGACTTTTTCCAGAATGAAACATTTGAAATCTCCAACCAGATCTAGACTAACGGATGCACACTTGCATCACTTGTTACGACTAGCAGTGACAAATATGGAACCGGACATTGACCATCTCATTAGCCAAAAGCAGGCCCATAGTTCCCATTGAAATACTGGCAAGTTTGTTGATTTAACTTTACTTATTCTTCATTTTAAATATTGTATTTGTTCCCGTTTTGTTTCTTCACTTCAAAATAAGATATATGCAGTGTGCATAGGAATGTGTTCATAGTTTTTTTAACTATAGTCCGGCCCTCCAACGGTCTGAGGGACAGTGAACTGGCCCCCTGTTTAAAAAGTTTGAGGACCCCTGGTTTAGTGTATAGTTTATTTCATGGTTTTGTATATAGTTTAGTCTAGTATACCATTAATAGTTTAGTAGTTTATAGTTTAGTATGTAGTTTATGGTTTGGTATTTCGTTCATAGTTTGGTACGTAGTTTATATTTCGATTTAAAGCTTTTGTGACTGCAGGGATTCATATTATTGGATCTTTCGGTAAAGTCACGTAGAAGGGAAATACTAAAATAATAAAAATAAAACATAATAAAATACAATACAAATATTTCCCTTCTATGTGACTTTACCGAAAGAACCAAGAAGATGTAGTTTGTATTTTAGTTTATTGTTTAGCTTCTAGTTTAGTATACAGCTTAGTTTAGTATTTAGTTTAGTATGCAGTTGATAGTTTAGATGATACTTTAGTATATAGTTGATAGTTTAGCATATCGTTTAAAGTTTAGTATATCGTTTAAAGTTTAGTTTATAATTTGACTTCTCCCTGACCTTTTATTTTTCGATTTAAAGCTTTCGTGACTGCAGGGATTCATTTTCTTGGTTCTTTCGGTAAAGTCACGTAGAAGGGAAACAATAAAAATTCTAAAATAAAACATAAAATAATTCTCACGACGTTTCGGCCACAACGCAAGCAGCCGTCATCAGGTGAAGACCAGGTCTGTCGGAGACAGCTTGGTGCTGTTTCAATCAGACGCTGTCTCCCCGACAGACCTGTCTTCACCTGAGGACGTCTGCTTGCGTTGTGGCCGAAACGTCGTGAGAATTATTTTATGATGTTTTATTTTTATTATTTTATTATTTCCATTTTACGTGACTTTACCGAAAGAACCAAGAAGAGTTTAGCATATAGTTTATAATTTAACATATCGTTTAAAGTTAAGTTTATAATTTGACCTCTCCCTGACCTTTAACACAATCCGAGATGAACCGGAGCGGTGAAGTATGGCGCTAACCCCCCCTCCCGCCCGTGCCCAGTGCGTGTGAGCGAGGCCATTGGAGCTGTACAGAGCGGCCATGTGCAGCCACGTGCGTGGTGGACGGGGGATCCCACGTGACCACCTTCGACCAGGCCGAGTTCCGCTTCCACGCAGCATGCCGCTACCTCCTGCTGCAGGTACAGGGGCTCGCTCAGTCACTCGGTCACTCAGTCATTGACTCACTCAGTCATTGACTCACTCAGTCACTCAGTCACTCAGTCACACAGTCACTTAGTCACTCAGTCACACGGTCACTCAGTCATTCAGTCACTCACTCACTCAGTCACACAGTCATACAGTCACTCAGTCACTCAGTCACACAGTCACTCACTCAGTCACACGGTCACTCACACAGTCACTCAGTCACTCACTCACTCAGTCACACAGTCACTCAGTCACTCACTCAGTCACTCAGTCACATGGGCACACAGTCACTCACTAACTCAGTCACTCAGTCACACAGTCACACAGTCACACAGTCACTCACACAGTCACTCAGTCACTCAGTCACTCACTCACACAGTCACTCAATCACACAGTCACTCACTCACACAGTCACACAGTCACACAGTCACTCAGTCACTCACTCACACAGTCACTCAGTCACTCACTCAGTCACACAGTCATTGACTCACACAGTCACCCATTCACACAGTCACTCAGTCACACAGTCACTCAGTCACACAGTCACTCACTCACACAGGCACGCACTCACTCACACAGCCACTCAGTCACTCACTCACACAGTCACTCAGTTACACAGTCACTCAGTCACTCACTCACACAGTCACTCAGTTACACAGTCACTCAGTCACTCACTCACACAGTCACTCAGTTATACAGTCACTCAGTCACTCACTCACACAGTCACTCACTCATACAGTCACTCACACAGTCACACAGTCACACAGTCACTCACTCATTCACACAGTCACTCACTCACACGGTCACTCAGTCACTCACTCACACAGTCACTCAGTCACCCACTCACACAGTCCCTCACACAGTCACTCACTCACACAGTTACTCACTCACTCACACGGTCACTCAGTCACTCACTCACACAGTCACTCAATCACTCACTCACACAGTCACTCACTCACACAGTCACACAGTCACTCAGTCACACAGTCACTCACACAGTCACACAGTCACTCAGTCACACAGTCACTCACACAGTCACTCACACAGTCACTGACTCACACAGTCACACAGTCACTGATTCACACAGTCACACAGTCACACAGTCACTGACTCACACAGTCACTGACTCACACAGTCACTGACTCACACAGTCACTCAGTCACTGACTCACACACTCACACGGTCACTAACTCACCCCGTCACTCACCCAGGCAGGAAACTGGTCCCTGGTTGGCTCCTTCACTCAGTGCGGAGCCACGGAGTCAGAGACCTGCCTCGACTCCATCCTCACCACCAACGGAAAGGTACCCTCACCACCACGCTCACCAACAACAACCGCCATTCACCACTAAGTGGCGGTGACGTCACCACGACGCCTGTGCCAGGCTATGTGCACCTTAAGGCCACGTGAAGTGTCGAACGCCCGCTGGCAAGAGGTCACGGGGCAGACCCAGCAGGTGCCACTGGTTGACTGACTGAGATGACCGAGAAGACTGGCTGATGCATCACCTGTGCCCCCTATTGTGTCAACTTGCTGTGCTTTAGCCACCCGGCGCTCCGCTCGTTGTTGTGAGCGTCGCTCCTCCACCCTCTGTTGTTGTTGGAGGGCGACTGCCTCCAACTGCCCAGTAGCGTCCTTCACGAGCCTCCTTCACAGAGGCCGATCTTGACACCGCTGGTACCAGTCATCGGCAAGTCCACTCAGCTCCACGTCCTCCTGTACCACATCACTCCATCTCTTCTCTAGCCCGTGCCGTGCCCGTTTAGCCCCAATGATCCGGCCGAACAAAAGCTGTTTAGGCATGCGGTGGCTGGGCATGCGGGCTACATGACCCAGCCAACGCAGCCTTGCCTGCCGGAGGAGCTCACCGATGGGACTGTGTCCAGATCTTTCAAGGATTTGTTAGCTCCTCAAACAATCTCCACAACTGCCCCCATCACCAATTTGGAGTTTTGGGGGGTGGAGTGTCCGATGGTACAAAATACCCAGGCAAGGTGCTTAGTTTTGGTGGGGCTGATGGTAAAGCCCCACCTCTTGGTGGCAAGCTCCAGTCTCAGCAGCAGCGCCTCCAACTCCTCCTCACGATCCCTTCCCCCCCCTCCCTCTTCTCTCTCCACTGCTGGATGAAGGAGTATATCGAATTCTTCAGCGCGAGCGTCGTGAACCAGGGCGAGGACCTCCTGCCCCTGCCCTACATCACAGGTAACAGAGGCAAAGCTCCCCCCAGGTAGCCTCCCGCACGCTGGTGGGGCAAGTGCTTGCTTCAGCAGCAGGTTTCGTGATCACACACACACAGAGAGGTATAAAGATCCCCCGTGTAGCCTTAACAGACTGTAGGGGCAAGTGCTGTTAGCGAGCAGTGCATATGAAGGCCGGAACGGCACACGAGGGGGTGGGTGGCCAGCACCACGCCTGGCCGCCATTGTCTCCCCAGTGGCGATGTTCACTATACACCGCTGCACCAGGAACCCATTTGAGGCTGAGTCGACCTAGGGGAGGCCCAGGACCGGTTCAGATAATCATCACCGCTGGTGTTGGCCGTGAGCGGGAATCGAACCCGGGTCGCTGGGTTAGTAGCGCAGCGTAGCGCTAACCGCTGAGCCACTGCTCCACACACACTCACACACAGGTACCCACACACAGGTACACACACACAAAGGTACACACATACAGGTACACCCACACACATACACACACACAGGTACACACATACACACACAGGTACACACACACACACAGATACACACATACACACACAGGTACACACACACACACAGGTACACACACACACACAGGTACACACACACACACAAAGGTACACACACACAGGTACACCCACACAGATACACACACACACAGGTACACACATGAACAACAACAACCGCCATTCACCACTAAGCGTCACTATGGCGCTTGTGCCAGGCTAGGTGCAGCAGGAGGAGGTCACTGGACAGACCCTGTAGGTGCCATTGGTTGACTGCTGTGCCAGGCTAGGTGCAGGAGGAGGAGGTCACGGGACAATCCCAGCAGGTGCCATGGGTTGACTGCTGTGCCAGGCTAGGTGCAGGAGGAGATGACTGCCAGATACACCACCAGCTGTTTCCCCGACTGCCAACTTGCTGCGGTTTTACCCGCCCGGCGCTCCGCTCGTTGTTGTGAGCAGCGTCGCTCCTCTGCCCCTCCGCTGTTATTATTGGAGCAGCGACATCCACCCATTGCCCAGTAGCCTCACGGTGCACCTAGCCTGGCACAGCAGTCAACCCATGGCACCTGCTGGGTCTGTCCCGTGACCTCCTCCTGCACCTAACCTGGCACTGCCCAGCAGCAGCAGCAGCAGCGTCCTTCACGAGCAGATGACGTCACCACGACGCTTGTGCCAGGCTATGTGCACCTTGAGGCCACGTGAACTGTCGAACGCCCGCTGGCAGGAGGTCACGGGGCAGACCCAGCAGGTGCCAGGGGTCGACTGACTGAGATGACCGAGATGAGTGGCTGATGCACCACCTGTGCCCCCTACTGTACGAACTTGCTGTGCTTTATCCACCCGGCGCTCCGCTCGTTGTTGTGAGCGTCGCTCCTCCGCCCTCCGTTGTTGTTGGAGGACGACTGCCTCCAACTGCCCAGTAGCGTCCTTCACGAGCCTCCTCCACAGAGGCCGATATTGACACCGCTGGTACCAGTCATCGGCAAGTCCACTCAGCTCTGACCCACCCACGCCGCAGCCCTGGACTGCAATCATTTCAGGCTGAGTCGACCTAGGGGGGAGGGGGGTTCAGATGTTAGCTGGCATCGGTCGCGAGCGGGAGTCGAACTCGTGGAGGGCGAGAGACGTTCTAAAAGAACTCTCTCATGTCCGTGTCTCTCACTGTGCATCCCTGCGTGTCCCCGCGTCTCCCCATGTCTCCCCGCGTCTCCCTGTGTCTCCCCGCGTCTCCCCCGTGTCTCCCCGTGTCTCCCTGCTTCTCCCCGTGTCTCTCCGTGTCTCCCCGCGTCTCCCCGTGTCTCCCTGCTTCTCCCCGTGTCTCTCCGTGTCTCCCCGCGTCTCTCCGTGTCTCCCCGCGTCTCCCCGCGTCTCTCCGTGTCTCCCCGTGTCTCTCCGTGTCTCCCCATGTCTCCCCGCGTCTCCCCGCGTCTTTCCGTGTCTCCCCACGTCTCCCCGCGTCTCTCCTTGTCTCCCCGTGTCTTTCCGTGTCTCCCCGTGTCTCTCCTTGTCTCCCCGTGTCTCCCCGTGTCTCTCCGCGTCTCCCCGCATCGTCTCCCCCCCCCCCCCCCCCCCCCCGGCGTGTCAAGACAGACTCGGTGGAGGTCCAGCGGGTGTCATCGATGTTCGTCGAGGTGCGGCTGCTCCTGCCACCCCCCCAGGGCTCCACCTCCTCCTCCTCCACCTCCTCCACCACCTCCTCCTCCACCTCCTCCTCGTCGCTCCTCCTGCAGATCCGCACGGAGCCCACGCTGCAGATGTTCATCACGGCCAGCCCGGCCCTGCGCGAACTCACGCGCGGTGACACTCCACGCGGCACTGGGAGAGACACGGGGGGAGACACTGGGGGAGAGACACAGGGGGGAGACACGGGGAGAGACACGGGGGGAGAGACACGGGGAGAGACACGGGAGGAGACACTGGGGGAGAGACACAGGGGGGAGACACGGGGAGAGACACGGGGAGAGACACGGGGGGAGACACGGGGGGAGAGACACGGGGGGAGACACGGGGAGAGACACGGGGTGACACTCCACGCGGCACTGGGAGAGACACGGGGAGAGAGACACGGGGAGAGACACGGGGGGAGAGACACGGAGAGAGAGACACAGGGAGAGACACGGGGGGAGAGACATGGGGAGAGAGACACGGGGAGAGACACGGGGGGAGACACGGGGAGAGACACGGAGAGAGACACGGGGTGGGGGGGAGAGACACGGGGAGAGACACGGAGAGAGACACGGGGAGAGAGACACGGGGAGAGACACGGGGAGAGACACGGGGAGAGACACGGAGAGAGACACGGAGAGAGACACGGGGGGGGGAGAGACACGGGGAGAGACACGGAGAGAGACACGGGGAGAGAGACACGGGGAGAGACACGGGGTGACACTCCACGCGGCACTGGGAGAGACACGGGGAGAGACACGGGGAGAGACACGGGGGGAGAGAGACGTGTTATCATGTAGTTGTGTGTGTGTGTGGCTGTGTGTGTGTGTGCGTATACCTGTGTGTGTGTGCCTGTGTGTATGTGTGCCTGTGTGTGTGTGTGCCTATGTGTGTAATTGTGTGTGTGTGCCTGTGTGTGTGTGTGCCTGTGTGTATGTGTGCCTGTGTGTGTGTGTGCCTATGTGTGTAATTGTGTGTGTGTGCCTGTGTGTGTGTGTGCCTGTGTGTATGTGTGCCTGTGTGTGTGTGTGCCTATGTGTGTAATTGTGTGTGTGTGCCTGTGTGTGTGTGTGCCTGTGTGTGTGTGTACCTGTGCCTGTATGTGCGTGATCACCAACCCGTGCGTGCAGGCTTATGCGGCAACTTCAATGGCGTCGCAGGCGACGACTGGCGCTGCGCCCAGGGGGTGCTGCAGGCCACGGCGGCCTCCCTGGCCGACTCGTGGGGGGTCGGCGCTGGGGGGGGGGCTCCCTGCCCCCCCGCGCGGGACGCCCTGGCAGAGCCGTGCGCTGCCAGCGCCAGCACCGGTGAGACAGAGACAGCGCAGGGACACACACAGAGACACCACAGAGACACACGCAGAGACATACAGAGACACACAGAGACTCACGCAGAGACACACAGAGACACCGCAGAGACACACAGAGACACACACAGAGACACAGCAGGGACACACACAGAGAGAGACACACAGAGACACACAGAGACACAGAGACACACACAGAGACACACAGAGACTCACACAGAGAGACACACGCAGAGACACACAGAGACACAGAGACACACACAGAGACACACAGAGACACACACAGAGACACAGCAGGGACACACACAGAGAGAGACACACAGAGACACACAGAGACACACAGAGACACAGAGACACACACAGAGACACACAGAGACTCACACAGAGAGACACACGCAGAGACACACAGAGACACAGAGACACACACAGAGACACACACAGAGACACACAGTGGTGGTGGTGGAGGTTGATGGTGGTGGTTGACGGTGGTGGTGGTTGACGGTGGTGGTGGTTGACGGTGATGGTTGATGGTGGTGGTGGTTGACGGTGGTGGTTGATGGTGGTGGTGATTGACGGTGGTGGTGGTTGATGGTGGTGGTGGTTGACGGTGGTGGTTGACGGTGGTGGTGGTTGACGGTGATGGTTGATGGTGGTGGTGGTGGGTGACGGTGGTGGTGGTTGACGGTGATGGTTGATGGTGGTGGGTGACGGTGGTGATGGTGGTGGTGGTTGATGGTGGTGGTTGATGGTGGTGGTGGTGGTTGACGGTGGTGGTGGTGGTTGACGGTGGTGGTTGACGGTGGTGGTGGTTGACGGTGGTGGTGGTGGTTGACGGTGGTGGTGGTTGTGCCGCTGCAGCTGGCTTTGCCGAGCGGTGGTGCTCGCTGGTGCTGAGCGAGAAATCCGCGTTCGGCGCCTGCCACGGAGACGTGGACCCAGCACGCTTCTACACGGTGAGCAGCACGCAGACATCCACTCCGCACATACACACAGCCACACACACTCACACACTTACACACACGCACACAGCCACACACACACAGAGCCACGCACACACAGAGACATCCACACACAGGGCCACACACACACAAAGCCACACACACACACACACAGAGCTACACACACACACACACCCACACACACTTACACACACTTACACACACAACAACAACAACAACAACCGCCATTCGCCACTAAGTGGCGGTGACGTCACCACGACGCTTGTGCCAGGCCAAGTGCACCTTGAGGCCACGTGAAGTGTCGAACGCCCGCTGGCAGGAGGTCACGGGGAAGACCCAAGCAGGTGCCACGGGTCGACTGACTGAGATGTCCGAGATGACTGGCTGATGCACCACCTGTGCCCCCTACTGTACCAACTTTCTGTGCTTTATCCACCCGGCGCTCCGCTCGTTGTTGTGAGCGTCGCTCCTCCGCCCTCCGTTGTTGTTGGAGGGCAACTGCCTCCAACTGCCCAGTAGCGTCCTTCACGAGCCTCCTCCACTGAGGCCGATCTTGACACCGCTGGTACCAGTCATCGGCAAGTCCACTCAGCTCCACTGCCTCCTGCACCACATCACTCCACCTCTTCTCCAGCCCGCGCCACGCCCGTCTAGCCCCCCCGACCCGGCCGGACAAAAGCTGTTTAGGCATGTGGTGGCTGGGCATGCGGTCTACATGACCCAGCCAATGCAGCCTTGCCTGCCGGAGGAGCTCACCGATGGGACTTTGCCCAGATCTTTCAAGGATTTGTGAGCTCCTCACACAATCCAGTCTGGTTGAACCCAGGATGGATCGTAGGCAGGCCAGCCTACACACACACACAGAGCCACACACACAGAGCCACACACACACCCACACACACAGAGCCACACACACACACAGAGCCACACACACACACAGAGCCACCCACACACACACAGAGACACACACACACAGAGCCACACACACAGCCACACACACACACTTACACACTCATTCACTCACTCACACACAAACCCACACACACACTGATCCACCCACTCATTCACTCACTCACACACAAACCCACACACACACTGATCCACCCACTCATTCACTCACTCACCCACCCCCTCACTCACTGACCCACACACACACCCACCCACACACACACCCACCCACACACACACCCACCCACATACCCACACACTCACCCACACACTCACCCACGCACCCACTCACTCACCCACCCACTCCTCACCCACCCACTTACCCACTCAATCATCCACCCACTCACTCACCCACCCACTCACCCACTGATCCACCCATTCACTCACTCACTCGCCCACTCACTGTGTGTATGTATGTCTGCGTGTGTGCGTGTGTGTGTGCGTATGTCTTTGTCTTTGTTTTGTATGTGTCTGTGTGTGTATCTGTGTGTGTGTGTCTATGTATCTGTGTCTATGTATCTGTGTGTGTCTCTGTGTGTGTGTCTATCTGTGTGTGTGTGTGTGCGACAGGCGTGCCGCTACGAGGTTTGCACCGGCCAGGACGCGGCCGCGTCGCTCTGCTCGGCGCTCGGCTCCTACGTGGCGGCCTGCAGCCTCGCAGGTCGCGCAGTGGACGCGTGGCGCCAACTCGTGCCCATGTGTGGTGGGTAGCGGTGGTGGTGGGTGGTGGTGGGTGGGTGGTGGTGGTGGTGGGTGGTGGTGGTGTGTGGTGGGGGTGGGGTGGGTGGTGGGTGGGTGGTGGTGGTGGTGGTGTGTGGTGGTGGTGGTGGGTGGTGGTGGTGTGTGGTGGGGGTGGGGTGGGGTGGTGGGTGGTGGGGGTGGGGTGGGGTGGTGGGTGGTGGGTGGGGTGGTGGGTGGTGGGTAGTGGTGGTGGGTGGTTCAAGTTCAGTTTCATGTATAAGGTATAGCCCTGTGAGCCATTCGGCTCTTGAATCGGGTGCAACCGCAACAAACAACAAACAAAAAACAAAAACATGAACAAAAACATCTTAAAGTGAATATGTGACTAAGTGCAAACAGAAAATCCAAGAAAAGACAGCAAAATATTGCAGAAAAAACACCGTACACCAACGCTGTGTGCAAAAATTCCAGTGGGATGCAAGTCAAACAACCAACAACAACCACATGACAACTTAGATTAAGGCCATCAGTCTAACTCTGTACTATGCCCGTGTGTGGTGGGTGGGGTGGTGGGTGGTGGGTAGTGGTGGTGGGTAGTGGTGGTCAGTAGTGGTGCCTGTGTCGTGGTGTGTGGTGGGTGGTGGATAGTGGTGATGGGTGGTGGTGGGTGGTGGGTGGTGGTGCCTATGTGGTGGTGGTTGGTGGTTAGCGGTACCCGTATTGACATTGTCACCTCATCCCCCCCCCCTACTAACCCCTACCCCTCCCCCCCACCAGACAAAGCCACGACCACGTGCTCCCCTGGCCGCGTATTCTCCTACCGCGTGGTCACGTGCTCTAACCGCACCTGCGCGTCACTCGCACGCGGCAGCGTCGAGGGGACGGCAGCTTCGTCCTCAGCTGCTCGGGGGCGTGGCCTCGGCTGTGGCTCCTCCTCCTCCTCTGCTGCTAGTGCTGCTAGTGCGGTGGGGGTGGGGGGGGTGGAGGGCTGCGTGTGCGCTGAGGGTACCTACGAGGAGCCCGAGGGGGGGCTGTGTGTCCCTGCCAGCAGCTGCCCCTGCGTGGGGGCAGCGGGGAGAATTCTGCCCAGCGGGCAGTCCGTCAGGATGGGGGCCACCCTGTGGTGCGTACACACGTGTGTGTGTTGTGTGTGTGTTAGTGTGTTGTGTGTGTTGTGTTTAGCATGTTGTGTGTGTGTCTTTAGCGTGTTGTGTTAGTGTGTGTGTTAGTGTGTTGTGTTAGTGTGTGTGTGTGGTTAGCATGTTGTGTGTTGTGTGTGTGTTAGTGTGTGTTTGTGTGTGTTAGTGTGTGGAGTTAGTGTGTGTGTTAGTGTGTGTTGTGTTAGTGGGTTGTGTGTGTGTGTTAGTGTGTTGTGTTAGTGTGTGTGTTAGTGTGTGTTAGTGTGTGTGTTGTGTTAGTGTGTGTTAGTGTGTGTGTGTTAGTGTGTGTGTTAGTGTGTTGTGTGTGTTGTGTGTGTGTTGTGTGTGTGTTAGTGTGTGTGTTAGTGTGTGTGTTGTGTTAGTGTGTGTGTTAGTGTGTGTGTGTTAGTGTGTGTTGTGTTAGTGTGTGTGTTAGTGTGTGTGTTGTGTGTGTGTGTTAGTGTGTGTGTGTTAGTGTGTGTGTGTGTTGTGTTAGTGTGTGTGTTAGTGTGTGGTTAGCGTGTTGTGTTAGTATGTAGTTAGCATGTTGTGTTAGTGTGTAGTTAGCGTGTTATGTTAGTGTGTTGTGTTAGTGTGTGGTTAGCGTGTTGTGTTAGTGTGTGGTTAGCGTGTTGTGTTAGTGTGTAGTTAGCATGTTGTGTTAGTGTGTAGTTAGCGTGTTGTGTTAGTGTGTAGTTAGCATGTTGTGTTAGTGTGTAGTTAGCATGTAGTTAACGTGTTGCTTGTGTGCTGTGTGTGCACAGCACGTGTCAGAACGGGGTGCTCGACTGTGAGAGACCTGCACAGGTGGACAACGGTGAGGACGTGCGGTGCAGGCACTCACACGCACACACACCTACACACACACACATGTACACACACACGTACACACACACATACACATGTACACACACACATACACATGTACACACACACACATGTACACACACACGCGTACACATGTACACACACACACGTACACACACACATACACACACACGTACACACACACGTACACACACACACACACGTACACACACACGTACACACACTCACACGTACACACATCTCGCTGCTGCTGCTGGTTGTTGTGACGTCACGTCGCCGTGGTGACATCACTGCTCGCTGCTGGTGGTTGTTGTGACGTCACGTCTCTGCGGTGACATCACTGTTCGCTGCTGGTGGTTGTTGTGACGTCACCTTTCTGCGGTGACATCACTGCTCGCTGCTGCTGGTGGTTGTTATGACGTCACGTCTCTGCGGTGACATCACCGCTCGCTGCTGCTGGTTGTTGTTGTGACGTCACGTCGCCGCGGTGACATCACTGCTCGCTGCTGGTGGTTGTTGTGACGTCACAGGCACGTGCTCCGCTCCGCTGGTGCGCTACAACTGCACGGGGAAGGCGACGCCGGCACAGGGAGTGGGGTGCGCCCCGTCGTGCCAAGGGAAGCTCACGCGGACCCCCTGCGTGAGTGGCCGTCACTATCGCCATCGTCACCATTACCGTCACCATCGCCATCATCGCCATCACCGCCATCACCATCGCCATCGTCGCTATTGCCATCATCGTCACCATCACAGGTCACCATCATCGCCATCATCACCGCCACCATCACCATCGTCGCCATCACTGTCACTATCGCCATCATCACCATCACCGCCACTATCGCCATCATCACCGCCACCATCGCCATCGTCGCCATCACCGCCACTATCGCCATCATCACCGTCACTATCGCCATCATCACCATCACCGCCACTATCGCCATCATCACCGCCACCATCGCCATCGTCGCCATCACCGTCACTATCGCCATCATCACCGCCACCATCGCCACTATCGCCATCATCACCGCCACCATCGCCATCGTCGCCATCACCGTCACTATCGCCATCATCACCGCCATCATCGCCATCATCACCATCACCGCCACTATCGCCATCATCACCGTCACTATCGCCATCATCACCGTCACTATCGCCATCATCACCATCACCGTCACTATCGCCATCATCACCGCCACCATCGCCATCGTCGCCATCACCGTCACTATCGCCATCATCACCGCCACCATCGCCATCATCACCATCACCGCCACTATCGCCATCATCACCGTCACTATCGCCATCATCACCGTCACTATCGCCATCATCACCATCACCGTCACTATCGCCATCATCACCGTCACCATCGCCATCATCACCATCACCGTCACTATCGCCATCATCACCATCACCATCGCCGTCATCGCCATCATCATCACTATCACCATCACCGCCATCACCGTCACCATCGCCATCATCACCATCGCCGTCATCGCCATCATCGTCATCACCATCACTATCGCCATCATCGTCACCGACATCACCAACATCACCACAACCATGGCTCCTCGACTCAGCTACCCATGTCCCCGTGTCTCTCCGTGTCTCCCCGTGTCTCACCGTGTCTCTCCGTGTCTCCCCGTGTCTCCCCGTGTCTCTCCGTGTCTCCCCGTGTCTCACCGTGTCTCCCCGTGTCTCCCCTTGTCTCACCGTGTCTCCCCGTGTCTCTCCGTGTCTCCCCGTGTCTCACTGTGTCTCCCCGTGTCTCTCCGTGTCTCTCCGTGTCTCCCCATGTCTCTCCGTGTCTCACCGTGCCTCCCCGTGTCTCACCGTGTTGTACCGTGTCTCTCCTTGTCTCACCGTGTCTCTCCTTGTCTCCCCGTGTCTCTCCGTGTCTCCCCACATCTCCCCGTGTCTCCCCGCGTCTCCCCGTGTCTCCCCGCGTCTCCCCACGTCTCTCCGTGTCTCCCCGTGTCTCACCGTGTCTCTCCGTGTCTCCCCGTGTCTCTCCTTGTCTCCCCGTGTCTCCCCGTGTCTCCCCGTGTCTCTCCGTGTCTCCCCGTGTCTCCCCGCGTCTCCCCGTGTCTCCCCGTAGCTGAGTGTGCGCTGTGAGCCGGGCTGTGGGTGTCCCCGGGGTCTGCTGGCGGACGGCGTGGGGGGCTGCGTGGCCTCCCGGGATTGCCCCTGCAGCCGCAACGGCCGCTCCTACAGCAGCGGCGGCACCGTCACTAGCAAGTGTGAGAAGTGGTGAGTGTGGTGATGGTGGCATCACCAATATAACCACCATCATCACCGTCACCAGCAAGTGTGAGAAGTGGTGAGTGTGGTGGTGGTGGCATCACCAACATAACCACCATCATCACCGTCACCAGCAAGTGTGAGAAGTGGTGAGTGTGGTGGTGGTGGCATCACCAACATAACCACCATCATCACCGTCACCAGCAAGTGTGACAAGTGGTGAGTGTGGTGGTGGTGGCATCACCAACATAACCATCATCATCACCACCGTCACCACCAAGTGTGACAAGTGGTGAGTTTATCGTTTAGTTTAACACGCATACACACGCACACACGAGAAGGTGGGGTGGGGGGAGATCTTTGTCTTGTCGTGTGCGTGCGTGCGCGTGTCACAGCACGTGCCGTGGGGGCCAGTGGGCCTGCCAGGAGCGCCGCCAGCAGCCCTGCCTCTCCACGTGCTCTGTGTTCGGCGACGGCCACTACAGCTCCTTCGACGGGCGCCAGTTCGTGTTCGACGGCTCCTGCGAGTACGTCGTGGCTCAGGTGAGGGGCGAGCGACTGAGCCGGCTGTACGAGGACTGTGCCATCCGGCGATTCGACTTGGAGTCTACCGCGGCAGGCACCGGCGTCGGCACGGATCGCCGAGCTAGCGTGCGGAGCGTTGTTAGCGCTGTCAAGACGACAGAAAAAATGTAATAAGGATTTATTTTTTACCCGCAACAAATTAATGATATTGGACGTCAAAGCCTACATGTCAAACTGGGGCCCCTTTAACCCGTTCTTACTGACGGGGATACAGGAGGTGTTCAAACACCGAACAGCGACACCCGTTGTTGTCGACTGCAAGGTGCCGTCATGTCTGCCTAACCACGCGTAGTGGTAAAAAATACGAACACGCTTTGACAATCACTGTACGCATTGGTCCTTGTAACCGATTGGCCTGCACCAGATCTGCAGGTTACCTCTATGGCCGTGTCTCTGCGCCAGTGTTAGATCAGAGAATGATGCCAAAAGGGGAACAGCACAAGGACAATAACAGTATCAAAGTATTAACGGCTTGGGTCGAGTAGTTATGTCTGTGGGACCCTTTTTTGCTTTTGGAAAGTTTAATTTAATCGGGCTGTGTACCAGGACCTAACTTAAGCTTTGTGTCTGGGCCTGACTCAGGCTCCGTGTCTGGGCCTAATATAGGATCTGGGCCTAACTCAGGCTCTGTTTCTGGCCTTACTCAGGGTCTGTGTCTGGGCCTAATTTAGGATCTGGGCCTAACTCAGGCTCTGTTTCTGGCCTTACTCAGGGTCTGTGTCTGGGCCGAACTGAGCCAAGCATTGCCACCCGTTCAGGAATCGTCATTGGTGTTTGAGGCCCCGGCTGACTGAGAAATATAATCCAGGTCGATGTGTGTGTGCATCTTGCGTGCGTGTTGGCGTGTGTGCGCGTCTTTGCATGCGTCTGAATGTCTCTCAGGATTACTGCGGGGAAGAGCAGCAGCAGGGCACGTTCCGCGTCATCACGGAGAACTTGCCGTGCGGAACATCTGGGACCACTTGCTCCCGGGCAGTCAAAATCATCCTGAAGGTGAGGGCCACTGTGGGGCATGCTCAGACATACTCAGACGACGCACAAATATCCAGAATAGATAGTAATAGGTTTTTACCCTTTCAACTGGTACAAAAACTGACACCTTTATACAAGGCATCATGTTTGCAATAACCACAACACAAGCAGTCAAAATGCAAACAAAAAGAAACAACTCTGATAATGATAATGATATGCACTGTCCTTGAAGTTGATTGGTCCACACCCGAGACAGGTTTTCTTAGAGCCTAGTCTCCATTGGTGTTGGACCAGATGACGCCATAAGGCGTACAACTCAAAAGACAGCGCACTATCAGAGTGTTGAGAGCTCGGGGTAAGCATTTACACTATGAGACATCTCCTTTGCCAGTGGAAAAATATAGTAGTAGGTTTTTACCCTTTCAAATGGTACAAAAAATCCAGAATAGAGGTTGTTGGGTTAGATCGCGTAAATATAAATACGTCCTTAAACCCGCCACCACCTGGCACAGCCAATTAGTGATGTTTGTCACGTAAACAAAAGATGACAATTAGTTATTAGTAAGGCACTAACCGGTTGTGTGTTGGAGAGTAAACCCACAACATTTACAATTCGACTACCATGACGTTTTGCCGGTAATTACAACTAACATCATCAAGCGACAGAGGGAGGGAGGTGAATGATTTAGTTTAACTGTGTTTGGTCGTGAAAGCCTACGTGTTAAACGTATAGCCTTAACAGGCTGTTGAGGCAAAGTGCTGTTAGTTCGTGAGTAGCAGCACCTGTGAAGGCCGGCACTGTGGCACACCTCACACTCTGGGTCTAACTCAGGCACATTGTCTGGGCCTAACTCAGGCTCTGAGCCTAACTCAATCGCCTTGTCTGGGCCTAACTCAGGCTTTTTGAGCCTACCTCAAGCTTCTTGTCTGGGCCTAACTCAGGCTTTGGCCCTAACACAGGCACATTATTTGGGCTTAACTCTCTGGGGCTAACTCAGGCTCCTTTTCTGAGCCTAACTCAGGATCCTTGTCTGGGCTAATTCAGGCTTTGGGCCTAAATCATGCTCCTTGTTTGTATATAGCTTGACCTTCTTTCGCACCGTACATACCTCCGGCTTTGTGGCTGTTTGTCTGGGCATAATTCAAGCTTTGGGCCGAACTCAGGCTGTGGGCTTAACTTGGTGTCCGTGTCGCTGTGTCCGTGTGCGTCTTTGTAGGATGTGGAGATCTATCTGCACGACGGGAACTACTCCGTGTCTCGCGTCGGCTCCTCCGTCGCCACGTCTCCCGAGCGGCGTCACACCGTGGTGACACGCGGCCTCTACCTCGTCGTGTCCACGGCGGTGGGACTCACGCTCACGTGGGACCGCAGGACCAGCCTGACCCTCTCCCTGCCGGCGTCGTACCAGGTGGGCGCCACCAGCAGCAGCGTCATCATCAGCCAGATAGAGATCAGAGCAGAGACAAGCAGAGAGAGAGATTGGATCAGAGATCAGAGCAGAGACAACCAGAGAGATTGAATCAGAGATCAGAGCAGAGACAACAAGAGAGATTGAATCAGAGATCAGAGCAGAGACAACCAGAGAGATTGGATCAGAGATCAGAGCAGAGACAACCAGAGAGATTGAATCGGAGATCAGAGCAGAGACAACCAGAGAGATTGAATCGGAGATCAGAGCAGAGACAACCAGAGAGATTGAATCGGAGATCAGAGCAGAGACAACCAAAGAGAGATTGGATCAGAGATCAGAGCAGAGACAACCATTCAGACGCTGTCTTTTCGACAGACCTGTTCTCCACCTGAGGACGGCTGCTTGCGTTGTGGCCGAAACATCGTGAGAATTGTATTTTATGATGTTTTATTTTTATTATATTATTATTTCCATTCTATGTGACTTTACCGAAAGAACCAAGAAGATGAATCTCTGCAGTCACGAAAGCTTTAAATCGAAATAAGTAAACCCGTAAAAACAAAGTTTTTCACTATAAATCCTTTATATGCATGGCGGCTAGAGTCCTCTCGTCCTCTGGCTTGAGATGGCTGCCACCTATGGGTCAGATGATTGTCTGCCAGTATTAAGCAATTGGTAATTAAATATTTAATTTGTTTTCCATAAACAGTGCAAAAAAATTTTCACGAACATTAATTGTCTCGCACAACGAGTCTGTGTGCAAAATGTCAGCTCGATTGGATCACGGGAAGTGGGTTAAAAAACGACCGAAAGATTTGCACTGTCGTAAGCAAGCAAGCACGCAAGCACGCAAGCAAGCGAACTTAATATAAAGGATTTTAAAAAAAAGATGATGATGTTGATGATGTTGATGATGATGTTGATGATGATGTAGATGATGATGTTGATGATGATGATGTTGATGATGATGTTGATGTTAATGATGATGATGTTGATGATGTTTATGATGATGTTGATGATGATGATGTGAGATCAGAGCAGGGACAAGCCAATATCATTGAGCTCAAAAACAAACCTTTCCCAACTCACTGCACTCCCCTTAACCCCCATCTCCCCCCCCTCCCCCCCACCAGGGCCGCGTGTGCGGCCTGTGCGGCAACAACAACGGGGACGTCTCAGACGACTTCGTGGGCCGTGACGGAGCCCGAGTCGCCTCTGCGGCGGCCCTGGCCAAGGGCTGGCGCGCATCGCCGTGCGGGGCAGCTGGTGCTCCTCCGCCTCCCTCCTCCTCGTCCTCATCCTCCTTGTCCTCCAGCTCGACAGCGACGGTGGCGGTGGCAGTGGATCCGTGCCGCGCCAACCCCTACCGCCAAGTGTGGGCGCAGAGGCGCTGTGCCGTCATCGCGAGCGACGCCTTCGCCGAGTGCCACGCGCAGGTGGGTCAGAGGCGGCAGGGAAGGAGGTCGGTCTTACAGGGTGGAGGGGGGTCAACCTCCCCACCTTCGTCGTAACACCTCACCCCACCCGCCCCACTCCACCTCACCTCGCCCCACCCCACCCCACCTCGCCCCATCCCACCCCACCCACCCCACCCCACCCCACCCACCCCACTCCACCTCATCCCACCCCACCCCACCTCACCCCACTCCACCCCACCCACCCCACCCACGTCACCCACCCTACCCCACCTCACCCCACTCCACCTCGCCCCACCCAACCCGCGCCACCCCACCGACCGCACCGGCCCACCCACCCCACCCCACCCGCCCCACCCCACCCGATCCCACCACACCCACCCCAACACACCCACCCCGCCCCACCCTCCTTACCCCATCCACCCAACCCCACCTGCCCCACTCCACCTCAACCCACCCACCCGCCCCACCCGACCCGCCGCACCCCCATCACCGTGTCTCACCGTGGTGTCTTTCCCCCGTGGTGTCACCACCCCTTTGTCGTGTCTGTCCATCGCGTCCCCCCCACCCCGTGTCTCCCCGTGCGTACCCCTCCGTGTCTGCGCGTGTCTCACCATGTCCCCCCCCCACCCCCCGTGTCTCCCCCCCCCTCCCCCCGTGTCCACCGTCCCCAGGTGTACCACGTGCCGTACCTGGAGGCGTGCGTGCATGACGCGTGTGCGTGCGACGCTGGCGGCGACTGCGAGTGCGTGTGCACGGCCGTGGCCGCGTACGCGCGAGCCTGCCGCGACGCCGGCGTGTGTGTGCACTGGAGGACTCCCGACATGTGCCGTGAGTCTCACTCGCTCACTCACCTCCACACTCACTCACCACCTCCACACTCGCTCACCACCTCAACTCTCACTCACCACCTCCACCAATTACTCACCACACCCCTCGCTCGCTCACCACTTCAACTCTCACTCACCACCTCAACTCTCACTCACCACCTCCACACTCACTCACCACCCCCCCACTCACTCACCACCCTCACCAATTACTCACCACCCCCACCAATTACTCACCACCTCAACTCTCACTCACCACCTTCACCAATTACTCACCACCTCAACTCTCACTCACCACCTCCACACTCACTCACCACCCATATTTTCAGTCCATCTGCAACAGCAGAGGTGTAGGGAATTCCAACAAGACCTACATCTCTGCTTTATTAACCTGGTCAAGGCCTATGATACCATCAGTAGGCCTGGGCTCTGAGTTGTTCTTCGTGCTTTCGGAGTCGCTGACCCTCTGCTCACGATCATGAAGGACCTTCCTGATGGTGAGTGGGCCCGGGTAAAACTACGTGGCCGGGAGTCGGAGCCATTCCCTGTACACCTTGGGGTGCGACAGGGATGTCCTCTGGCTCCCACATTATTTAACATCTATTTCGACCACGCAGTTCGTGAAGCCTTCAATAGCTGTACCGGAGGAATTTCCATCTGGTACAGACACAATTGGAGGCTGATTGATGCCCGGGTGCGGTCAAGGGATAACTCCCTATTGGTCAACCATGTTATGTATGCCGATCTGGTAATTGCTGCTCACTCAGAGGAGGAGTTGGAGGCGCTGTCTTTGCATGTAACTGTGTGTGTGTGTGATTCTTCCCAGCCGTGTTCTGTGACTTCTACAACGAGGAGGGGGAGTGCACGTGGCACTACAGCGCCTGCAGCGCCCTCTCCGCCATCTGCCCCACGGCGCCCGGTGGCAACCTGAGCAGCGAGCTCAACACGCTGGAGGGTGAGCGGTGCCCATCCACTCACCCACTCGCTCACCTACTCGCTCACCTACTCAGTCACCCACTCAGTCACCCATTCAGTCACTCGCTCACCTACTTGCTCACCCACTCAGTCACCCACCCACTCACCCGCTCACTCGCTCGCTCACCTACTCGCTCACCCACTCAGTCACTTGCTTACCCACTCGCTCACCCACTCAGTCACTCGCTCAGTCACCCATTCAGTCACTCGCTCAGTCACTTGCTCGCTCACCCACTCAGTCACCCACTCAGTCACCCACTCAGTCACCCACTCAGTCACTTGCTCACTCACCTACTCGCTCGCTTACCTACTCGCTCACCCACTCGCTCGCTCGCTCACTCAGTCACCCACTCGCTCACCCACTCAGTCACCCGCTCAGTCACTCGCTCACCTACTCGCTCACCCACTCAGTTACCCACTCAGTCACCCACTCAGTCACTCGTTCAGTCACTCGCTCACCCACTCACTCGCTTGCTCACCTACTTGCTCACCTACTCGCTCACCCACTCAGTCACCCACTCACTCACCCATTCAGTCACTCGCTCAGTCACTCAGTCACCTACTCGCTCACCCACTCACTCGCTCACTCACCTACTTGCTCACCCACTCAGTCACCCACTCAGTCACCCACTCAGTCACCCACTCAGTCACTTGCTCGCTCACCTACTCGCTCGCTCACCTACTCGCTCGCTCACCTACTCGCTCACCCACTCACTCGCTCGCTCGCTCACTCAGTCACCCACTCGCTCACCCACTCAGTCACCCGCTCAGTCACTCGCTCACCTACTCGCTCACCCACTCAGTTACCCACTCAGTCACCCACTCAGTCACTCGTTCAGTCACTCGCTCACCCACTCACTCGCTCGCCCACCTACTTGCTCACCTACTCGCTCACCCACTCAGTCACCCACTCACTCACCCATTCAGTCACTCGCTCAGTCACTCAGTCACCTACTCGCTCACCCACTCACTCGCTCACTCACCTACTCGCTCACCCACTCAGTCACCCATTCAGTCACTCGCTCACTCACTCACTCACTCACTCGCTCACCTACTCGCTCACCCACTCAGTCACTCACTCAGTCACTCACTCACCCACTCAGTCACCCACTCAGTCACCCACTCAGTCACTCACTCAGTCACTCACTCACTCACTCACTCACCTACTCACTCACCCACTCAGTCACCCACTCAGTCACCCATTCAGTCACTCAATCAGTTAGTCACCCACTCACTCACTCACTCACCTACTCGCTCACCCACTCACCTACTCGCTCACCCACTCAGTCACCCACTCAGTCACCCACTCAGTCACTCAATCAGTTAGTCACCCACTCACTCACTCATTCACCTACTCGCTCACCCACTCAGTCACACAGTCAGTCACCCATTCAGTCACTCGCTCAGTCACTAGTTCACTCACTCACCAACTCAGTCACACACTCAGTCACCCATTCAGTCACCCATTCAGTCACTCGCTCGCTCACCTACTCGTTCACCTACTCGCTCGCTCACCCACTCAGTCACCCACTCAGTCACTCGCTCACCTACTCGCTCACCCACTCAGTCACCCACTCACTCACCCATTCAGTCACTCGCTCAGTCACTCAGTCACCTACTCGCTCACCCACTCAGTCACTCACTCACTCACCCATTCAGTCACTCGCTCAGTCACTCAGTCACCTACTCGCTCACCCACTCACTCGCTCACTCACCTACTCGCTCACCCACTCAGTCACCCATTCAGTCACTCGCTCACTCACTCACTCACTCGCTCACCTACTCGCTCACCCACTCAGTCACCCACTCAGTCACTCGCTCACCCACTCAGTCACCCACTCAGTCACCCACTCAGTCACTCACTCAGTCACTCACTCACTCGCCTACTCGCTCACCCACTCAGTCACCCACTCAGTCACCCATTCAGTCACTCAATCAGTTAGTCACCCACTCACTCACTCACTCACCTACTCGCTCACCCACTCACCCACTCACCTACTCGCTCACCCACTCAGTCACCCACTCAGTCACTCGCTCACCTACTCGCTCACCCACTCAGTTACCCACTCAGTCACCCACTCACTCACCCATTCAGTCACTCGCTCAGTCACTCAGTCACCTTCTCGCTCACCCACTCACTCGCTCACTCACCTACTTGCTCACCCACTCAGTCACCCACTCAGTCACCCACTCAGTCACCCACTCAGTCACTTGCTCGCTCACCTACTCGCTCGCTCACCTACTCGCTCGCTCACCTACTCGCTCACCCACTCACTCGCTCGCTCGCTCACTCAGTCACCCACTCGCTCACCCACTCAGTCACCCGCTCAGTCACTCGCTCACCTACTCGCTCACCCACTCAGTTACCCACTCAGTCACCCACTCAGTCACTCGTTCAGTCACTCGCTCACCCACTCACTCGCTCGCCCACCTACTTGCTCACCTACTCGCTCACCCACTCAGTCACCCACTCACTCACCCATTGAGTCACTCGCTCAGTCACTCAGTCACCTACTCGCTCACCCACTCACTCGCTCACTCACCTACTCGCTCACCCACTCAGTCACCCATTCAGTCACTCGCTCACTCACTCACTCACTCACTCGCTCACCTACTCGCTCACCCACTCAGTCACTCACTCAGTCACTCGCTCACCCACTCAGTCACCCACTCAGTCACCCACTCAGTCACTCAATCAGTTAGTCACCCACTCACTCACTCATTCACCTACTCGCTCACCCACTCAGTCACACAGTCAGTCACCCATTCAGTAACTCGCTCAGTCACTCGTTCACTCACTCACCAACTCAGTCACTCAATCAGTTAGTCACCCACTCACTCACCTACTCGCTCACCCACTCAGTCACACACTCAGTCACCCATTCAGTCACCCATTCAATCACTCGCTCGCTCACCTACTCGCTCACCTACTCGCTCGCTCACCCACTCAGTCACCCACTCAGTCACTCGCTCACCTACTCGCTCACCCACTCAGTCACCCACTCAGTCACCCATTCAGTCACTCGCTCACCTACTCGCTCGCTCACCCACTCAGTCACCCACTCAGTCACTCGCTCACCTACTCGCTCACCCACTCAGTCACCCACTCAGTCACCCATTCAGTCACTCGCTCAGTCACTCAGTCACCCACTCAGTCACTCGCTCACCTACTCGCTCACCCACTCAGTCACCCACTCACTCACCCATTCAGTCACTCGCTCAGTCACTCAGTCACCTACTCGCTCACCCACTCACTCGCTCACTCACCTACTCGCTCACCCACTCAGTCACCCACTCAGTCACTCGTTCAGTCACTCGCTCACCCACTCACTCGCTCGCTCACCTACTTGCTCACCTACTCGCTCACCCACTCAGTCACCCACTCACTCACCCATTCAGTCACTCGCTCAGTCACTCACTCACCTACTCGCTCACCCACTCAGTCACCCATTCAGTCACTCGCTCACTCACTCACTCACTCGCTCACCTACTCGCTCACCCACTCAGTCACCCACTCAGTCACTCGCTCACCCACTCAGTCACCCACTCAGTCACCCACTCAGTCACCCACTCAGTCACCCACTCAGTCACTTGCTCGCTCACCTACTCGCTCGCTCACCTACTCGCTCACCCACTCACTCGCTCGCTCGCTCACTCAGTCACCCACTCGCTCACCCACTCAGTCACCCGCTCAGTCACTCGCTCACCTACTCGCTCACCCACTCAGTTACCCACTCAGTCACCCACTCAGTCACTCGTTCAGTCACTCGCTCACCCACTCACTCACTCGCTCACCTACTTGATCACCTACTCACTCACCCACTCAGTCACCCACTCACTCACCCATTCAGTCACTCGCTCAGTCACTCAGTCACCTACTCGCTCACCCACTCACTCGCTCACTCACCTACTCGCTTACCCACTCAGTCACCCATTCAGTCACTCACTCACTCACTTGCTCACCTACTCGCTCACCCACTCAGTCATCCACTCAGTCACTCGCTCACCCACTCAGTCACCCACTCAGTCACCCACTCAGTCACTCGCTCAGTCACTCACTCACTCACCTACTCGCTCACCCACTCAGTCACCCACTCAGTCACCCATTCAGTCACTCAATCAGTTAGTCACCCACTCACTCACTCACTCACCTACTCGCTCACCCACTCACCCACTCACCCACTCGCTCACCCACTCAGTCACCCACTCAGTCACCCACTCAGTCACTCAATCAGTTAGTCACCCACTCACTCACTCATTCACCTACTCGCTCACCCACTCAGTCACACAGTCAGTCACCCATTCAGTCACTCGCTCAGTCACTCGTTCACTCACTCACCCACTCAGTCACTCAATCAGTTAGTCACCCACTCACTCACCTACTCGCTCACCCACTCAGTCACACACTCAGTCACCCATTCAGTCACTCGCTCGCTCACCTACTCGCTCACCTACTCACTCGCTCACCCACTCAGTCACCCACTCAGTCACTCGCTCACCTACTCGCTCACCCACTCAGTCACCCACTCAGTCACCCATTCAGTCACTCGCTCACCTACTCGCTCGCTCACCCACTCAGTCACCCACTCAGTCACTCGCTCACCTACTCACTCACCCACTCAGTCACCCACTCAGTCACCCATTCAGTCACTCGCTCAGTCACTCAGTCACCCACTCAGTCACTCGCTCACCTACTCGCTCACCCACTCAGTCACCCACTCACTCACCCATTCAGTCACTCGCTCAGTCACTCAGTCACCTATTCGCTCACCCACTCACTCGCTCACTCACCTACTCGCTCACCCACTCAGTCACCCACTCAGTCACTCACTCACCTACTCGCTCACCCACTCAGTCACCCATTCAGTCACTCGCTCAGTCACTCGTTCACTCACTCACCCACTCAGTCACTCAATCAGTTAGTCATCCACTCACTCACTCACCTACTCGCTCACCCACTCATTCACACACTCAGTCACC